CCACCCGGCTTTATTTCATAGGTAGTATTTGTTATTCAACATCAGTTATGTGTATTGATAACTTACTTCTATCCTATGTGCCAGGATGTGGACTTAAAAGATAGACATGGACCTTCTTTTTTTTTTTTAATCTTAACTCGAGGATATGTTTATTGATTTTAGAGAGAAAGGGAGAGAGAGAGAGAGAGAGAGAGAGAGAGAGAGAGAGAGAGAAAGAAACAAAAATCGATTGGTTGCCTCTCGTATGTGCCCCAACCAGGGATGAAACCGCAACCTAAGAATGAGCCCTCACTGGGAATCAACCTGATACCTTTAGGTATACAGGAGGACACTCCAGCCAACTGAGCCACACTGTCCAGGGCTGGAGTTTCCTCTTTTTTTTTTTTATGTGTTTTTATTGATTTCAGAGAGGAAGGAAGAGGGAAAGAGAGATAAACTTCAATGATGAGAATCATTGATCAGCTGCCTCCTGCATGCCTTCTACTGGGGATCGAGCCCACAACCTGGGCATATGCCCTTGACTGTAATTGAACCCGGGACCCTTCAGTCCACAGGCTGACGCTCTATCCACTGAGCCAAACCAGCTAGGGCTGGACCTTTTTTATGGAGATTGCATTTGAGTAGGGTAGGGCCAGATGAAAAAAAGTAAATAAATAAGATAATTTCAGATAGTTATAATAGTCAAGAAAAAAATATATTGTGTGGATAATGATGGTGGAGTGTGGGTGTGAGCACTGGGCCCTGAATAAGAAGAAACCAGATTTGTACAGAGTAGGGAGGAACATTCAAGGCAGAAGGAATAGCAACTTCAAGTGTCTTTTTTTTTTATTCTTTTGAAGGAAGAATTGCAACAAATAGTCATCAAATTTGTGTATCCCGATTTCATTTAATGCCTTCACCTTGTCTGTGTCTTATTTTGTAGGCTTATTTCTGCGTCACATGATCTTGGCCTACAGTAAGCTTTCTTTTAGCCAAGTGTTTAAACTGTACACTGCCCTTCAACAGTACTTCCAAAATGGTGAGAAAAAGACAGTGGAGGATGCTGATATGGAACTGACCAGCAGAGAAGAGGGCGAAAGAAAAATGGAAAAAGAAGAACTTGATGTGTCCATAAGGTAACTTGGGTTTTTCGGACAGGGGTCCCTTTCCTGCGAAATAGCACAGTAAATAATTGGAGCAAACCAGCAACCTTGGCGAATTAGAACAATGCTCCAATCCAGTGGTCGGCAAACTCATTAGTCAACAGAGCCAAATATCAACAGTACTTCTTCAAAATAGACTCGCCCAGGCCGAAAACCGACTTCTGCGCATGGGCCACGAAGTTTCAATCGCACTGTACGTGGTATTTTGTGGAAGAGCCACACTCAAGGGGCCAAAGAGCCGCATGTGGCTCACGAGCCGCAGTTTGCCGGCCACGGCTCTAATCCACTGAGCTTCCTGGCCAGGGCCTGGTTATGGGAGCAAGATTACAGTACTATTAACTCCTTCCAAAACCTCACTACTTAGAGTTGTCTATAAAGGCTTCTCATCTCTTGGAAAGGCAGTACAGTATGGGGTGAAGGGTCTGGCGCTAGAGTCAGAATCCTGGGTGTGAATCCTTGCTCCATCCCTTATTCCCTGTGAGGCCTTGGGCCAGTTACTCAACTCCTCTGTGTTTCAATTTCTTGATCTGCAAAATGGGAAGGATATCACCGCCTCAGAGGGTTGATGTAGGAATTAAATGATAAATTTATATAAAGTGTTTAGAACTGTTCCTGGTATGTGGCAAACATTCAACAACTATTCACTGTTCTTCTCTAATTTCTCTTCTAGTTAAGTCCCCTAAGGAAGGCTTCCAAGCAACAGTATGATCTTTGTTTGAGCTACTTTATAAGCTTAAAGTAGTAGAATGTCACTTCTTTAGAAGTGTTAAAATTCAGACTTTTCATATTATGGTTTGGTTTTCTCCTAAATTTATCTGATTTAATTAGGTCTAATCATATCTTTCTGTTTTTATCCTATTCTAAGAATTCATTTGCGTGTAAGCCAGTGTATTTACTGTTAAGGTGCATGGTTTCAGAAAATAGTGTATATTTAGTAAACTGAATTGCTCACTGATATGAAAGATATTCTTTAAAAGTTATTCTAATTAAGTATTATACTTTGTCCAAAAAGAAATGCTTTTACTTGTTATAGGATATTTCTTTACTTTGCAAGATATATTTTATATACTCCTTGATTCTTTTAAAAAGGAAAATTTCAATTTTTTCTCTTTTCGTGATTTTTCTAATGTTTTATTGTGTTATCAGAAGTTTCTCACTTTAGCCCTTTCTATTTTTTTATTTATTTATAGTTATTGGAATGATTTTAGGTATGTTTTCTTCAGGGAAATTATTTTTCTTGCCCCAGAAATTTGTATTAAAATTAGAAAGGAGAAAGTATTATTGAATAGCCTACAAATCTCCCATCTTACAATGAAATTATTCCTATTTAAAAGTGGGAACCTAACTGGTCATTTAGAAGGGAGAGAATAAATATCTTTCAGGTGTTTTTAAAAATCCACGTACAGACGGAAGCGCAAACTGAAATTTAGCTTCAGCTTTTCATTTGCTCGTTGTTGCCAGGGGGCAGCTCTGTGTCCTGCGGTAAGAAATCAGGCTGACAGGATTATAGCTCGTCAGGCTGCAGTGGAGCCTGCTAGTCTGCCTGCTGCTGGAAGCAGTCTTCTCTGTGCTGCTGAGTGGACCCCGCCAAAGCAGAAATTCTCTGGTATTCCTTCACCTGCCAGAGATTTGATGTAAATCTCCCAAATTCATTAATGTGTTCAAAAATACTTATCAAGTGCTTCCTGTGTGCCAGGCACTGTGAGGGGCTGTGCTGTCAGCGAAAAGGGAGAGTTCCTGTCCTCGTGAAGTTAGGTGGGAGGGTCAGGTAGTAGGTAACTGAATGAAGAAGCAGTGTAATTTCAGAGACAGTAAGGAAATGAAGTAGGACACAAGGATAGAAAATGACTGTGGGGTGCTGTTTGGGAAGGTCTCTCTCTCTCTCTTTCTCTTTTTTAATACATTTTTATTGATTTCAGAGAGGAAAGGAAAGGGAAAGAGAGATAGAAACATCGATGATGAACCCTAACCAGTTTGGCTCAGTGGATAGAGCGTCGGCCTGTGGACTCAAGAGTCCCAGGTTCGATTCCGGTCAAGGGCATGTACTTTGGTTACGGGCACATACCCAAGTTGGGAGTGTGCAGGAGGCAGCTGATCGATGTTTCTCTCATTGATGTTTCTAACTATCTCTCTCCCTTTCTCTCTGTAAAAAAAAATCAATAAAATATATTTTAAAAAAACCGCCCCCCCACTGGGGATTGAGCCCAAAACCCAGTATGTGCCCTGATTGGGAATCAAACCGTAACCTCCAGGTTCATAGGTCAACGATCGATTGCTGAGCCACACCGGCCGGGCTGGGAAGGTCTCTAGAAGACTGGGAGCTCGGTGACGAAGGAGCGAGTCCTGAGAAGAATTGCCAGAGCACATGGCAGACACGGAGCCCCCAAGTCAGGACAAGCTGTCATATTGGAGGGACAGACAGAAGGAGGGGCTGGATCACACCCTCTGGTCACACACTTGGGAAGGGCTCAGGTCCTCGTGGCCTTAGGTGTTTAGTAACTGTTCTCTGTCTCAGTCTCTCCTCTTCCCTGGTTTTGACCTGTCACTACATCACTCAGAAATCTCCAGAGATTCCACAGATTCTCCCCACCTGGTGTTTGAGGCCTCCACAATCGATCTTTCTGACCTTACCTTCTGTTCTTGGCTTGGATCCTTTACCCCCACTAGCCAGGTCTGCTTGTATGCCCCCAGGCCTTTTCCCTTTCTGCCTCTCTTGTTTTCTTTTCCTGGAATGCCTTCCTCTTTCCTCATCATTTTCCTTCCCCACTCCTTACCAGCTTTCCAGTTCCTCACCACTCCGCTGGAGTGATTTCTTCCTTTTCTAAGTACAGAGTCCATACTCATCCTTGACATTTATCGTTTATTATCATCTTTGCACCTGGGCTGGTCCTAGCCTTTACCAAGACTGTAGACCAAGCATGTCAAACTCGCTGGCGACCATTAAGATTTTGTATTTCCCCCCCAGGGCCTTGATTGGTGTTTTATGCCTTGCACATACTTTAAAAAACAAACAAACAAACAATCCTTGCTGGTTGATTAATCCTATGTAAAATTCAAATATAGTGGTAGATTTGAGCCCTTTAGAGCAGTTTACAGGCTTCTTTTAAGAATCTGATGAATGCCATGTACTTTCTCTACATTAAAAATGTACATTCATGCTTACCTGGCAGGGAAGGTACCATGATCATGAAGGTGGTTTTCCCAGGGCAAGGCTTAGCCATTGCACTCCAGATGTGCTGACCCTGTGGTTTCCCCAAATGTGGGAAACTCAGCTGCATCATTTGTGATCGTGGAGAGCTGTGTTCGTGCTGTCTGCTGGACAGAAAAAGCACATTCATGCAAACTGCATGCAGTTTTATAAGGACCATGGACTCCTTCTAGCCCATCCATGAATCCAGGTTAAGTGCCCTTGTGTTATAGCACTAGGAAGCCGAAAAGTCTGTCTCAGCTGATAATTGGATTCATAAACAAGGTATACTTGAGCCCTTTTTCTAAGTGGAAAACCTCTATTGCTTCCAAAGGGCTACTTTCCCCTCCATGTATTTGTGAGGCTCTGAGGAAGCAAAGGAAGGGTCAGTGAAGGGTGCCTTGGGCCACAATATTTTTATTTGCTCTTCCCAAGCTTGTTCATTCATGTCGGCCACAGTTGCTAGTATGGGAGCCAGAGCCCAAAAATTTTTAAAAAATATATTTTATTGATTTTTTACAGAGAGGAAGGGAGAGGGATAGAGGGTTAGAAACATTGATGAGAGAGAAACATCGATCAGCTGCCTCCTGCACACTCCCTACTGTGTATGTGCCCGCAACCAAGGTACATGCCCTTGACTGGAATCAAACCCAGGACCCTTGAGTCCGCAGGCCGATGCTCTATCCACTGAGCCAAACCGGTTAGGGCAACAAATTTGATCTTCATTTATAATAACTCTATATGTCTTCACTTGTAGCCCTTTTCCTTTGCGTCATTTTGATTTTCTCGTGTATTGCTTCCTTGTCCTTTGTTATAAACCAGCCTAAATCTGTTTTTGGGGAATGGGGTTGAGTAAGTAAATCATTTGGCACTACTGAGTGTCATGGACTTTAGAGGAGAATGGGACAGTGGTGGTGTGTCCAGTTTCCTTCGGATTCTCATCTGTCTCTAGCCTTTTTGTGTACAGCCATATTTATTTCAAACCTTATTTTGTTTAAGGGATATGTTAAGAGAAAAGGGCTTGTTGCCCAGACACTTAACTGTTTTCCATTTGAGAACTTGGCCTGTGAAATTTTTTTCCATTTCCCTCTAGGTCACTACTGTGTCATTGATCTTTGTTAGGCCTGGGTCAGGGCTGGTTCTTGGCAGCTCCAATATTTGCAAAAGCTGACCCACTGCTTTGGGGATGGTTAGGTAATATTTATCAGAAATGAAGTTAGGAGAATATTAGAGCAGCTCTTCCTAAAGTGTCTTCTGTGGGATGCTAGTGCTTCTGGAGAGACATGAGGAAAGGATCCTTTGTGCAAGTGAGGTTGGTAAATGGTACGTTAAGTAAAAGTGAAGTTTCTTTCTGCTGGATTTCTCTAATGAATCATGAACCTCCAAGCAAGATAGAATATATACACCTTTCCTCAAATTCTTTAACCTCATAATTTTCTGAGGATACCCATTTACATATAGTTTGCATGAAACAGTTTGAGATCTGCTGTAATTGACACAGAGTGCTTATACAAATACTATTTATGGGTAAATATTGATTTTATACTTATTGTAATCCTAGTTAGAGAAGACTTTCTTCAGTGATAAAAGAGTAATATTCATACTTTGACCTCAAAACAAGATTGTTTTATACTGTGCATGTATAGATTTGTCAAGTCTAGGTTTATATTAGTACATTTCTTGTTTATCAGTCCTGTGTAATCTAAGCTTCTAGGCAAATGGTTATTTCTTAGGTAAAGCCTCCTTTTCCTGCTTTTGAATACAACACCATCTTGACTCTGTAGCATGGAGTTAGAAACTCTTCATTCATTTATTTCCCAAAATCTGAGTGTGCCTACATATAGCCCTGGTTATTCACATACACATGCAGGTAAGAACAGCCCAGCTCGGCAGTACATAGGTGCTTTGATAAGCATCTAGGAGACAGTGGGAGCTCAAATGAGACATGTCAGGAGAGCTTCTTGGAGGCTGTGACTCGTGTAATTTTGAATGATGGATGGTGTCCAATAGTAGGTGGGCAAGTGGGCCCTGCAGGTTGTGGAAGCAGCAGGGGCACCTTATCGTGACAGACCTGTAAGGTGTTCATGAGGGCTGGGGTGTAGGTGATAAAGAGAAGGCAAAGGAGAGAGGCAGGAGGTGGGATCACCCATGAAGCACTGCACCTGCCCCGCTAAGCTATGTGGACTTTATTTTGGAGGTAATGGGGTACCACTGAAGGGCTTAAAATCAGGGATAGCATGATAGATTTGCATTTTAGAAAGATCTGCTGAGAGCTGTGTAGAATTTAGGTCTATATTTGTCCACGATCATTGTGAACTTTGTCAGGTCATTCAACATCATTTTTTAAGTATGTCTTTTCTATTCCTGAGAGGAGAGAGTTAGTTGTAAAAGTTTTTGGCCCTGGCCAGATATCTCAGTGTTTAGAGTGTTGTCCTGATATGCCACAGTTAACGGTCAGGGCACATACAAGGATCAACCAATGAATACATAAGTGGAACAACGAATCATTGCTTTCTCTCTCTCTCTCTCTCTCTCTCTCTCTCTCTCTCTCTCTCTCTCCCCCCCTTACTTTCTCCTTAAAATCAATCAATTAAAAAAATGTGTCTTAACTCTTCTGATAAAGAATGTTTGACTTTGTAAGCATTATCATTTTTGCTATGGTGTATTATATGTATTTATTATTTTTGTTTTATATTTTGTAGAGAAGAGGAGGTATCTTGCAGTGGGCCCCTGTCCCAAAAACAAGCAGAGTTTTTTCTTTCTCAACAGGTAATGTTAATTCTCTAATTTATCATGAACTTTAAAAAAAATCGTCTGACGTTGTTTGTCATGGCATATGCCTGTTATGTTGGTGGGTTTATTGGTAATTCTGCATTACCCCTTGTTCTTGGCCCTCTTTTCTTCACTAACAATGCTGTTACTTCCTATTTTGTAGTTTTATTTTTCGATTAAAGTTCTAATGCAAGTTCATTCAATAATGGTACATGACTAACACAGCCAAAAAATGTGATTTAGAAGATGTGCTTCCCTTTCCCCAACATTTTATTATGGACATTAAAAAAAAATTGAAAAGCATTTTACAGTGAATATCCATATACTCTTCATCTGTATCCTGTAGTTAATATTTTTCTCTGTTCAACACATATCTACCCATTCTCTATCTGGCCACCATTTCTTTTCTTTTATTTTTTTATGCATTTCAAGTTGCAGATATCAGTGCACTTCATCCCAAACATTTAAAAAATACATATATTCTTATTGATTTCAGAGAGGAAGGGAGAGAGAGGGAGATAGAAACTTCAATGATGAGAGAGAATCATTGATCGGCTGCCTCCTGCACGCTCCCTACTGGGGATGGAGCCCACAAGCCAGGCATGTGTCCTGACTGGAAATCACACCCTGACCTCCTGATTCATAGCTTGACACTCAACCCCTGAATCACACTGGCTGGGCGGTCCAAAACATTTTTTGTTGGTGGTTTTAAGGCAGACTCTTTCATTTTCTCAGTAACGTAAGCTAAACATTTTTCTCCCATGTTATCTTGAAGCAGACTTTTGATTTTTTGCTAGACTTTTCTAGTTTTCCCTGATTTTGTCCTTAAATTTCTTTCTGCAGAAAAATGTAGTGATCTAGCTAAAAGTGATAGGAACATACCTGCAGATGAATTTTAAACAAATTAGAAAAACTTGTCTAGCTATCAAGGAGAAAATATAGCTGGATCCTCACACCTTAGTATATTACAGGTGGATTAAAGGGGCGAATGTAAATATTTAAAGCTGTAATTAAACTAGAAGGAACTACAGTATTAACTTTTAACTGATTTATGGATGGGGAAAGACTTTCTAAACATAAAAGCTGTGGAAGTAACATGTAGGAGAAGATAATTTGATTTTTTAGCATGAAAATAAAAAATGTCTGCATGTCAGAACACCTTCTAACAAGATTAAAAGGCAAACAACAAAATGGGGAAAGTATTTGCAATAAATATGACAGTCAAAGGGTTAATAGTTTTGTTTTAAGAATCATTTGTAGCCCTAACTGGTTTGGCTCAGTGGATAGAGCATCGACCTGCAGACTGAAGGGTCTCAGGTTCAATTCTAGTCAAGGGCATGTACCTTGGTTGCGGGCACATCCCCAGTAGGGGGTGTGCAAGAGGCAGCTGATCGATGTTTCTCGCTCATTGATGTTTCTAACTCTCTATCCCTCTCCCTTCCTCTCTGTAAAAAAAATCAATAAAATATATTTTAAAAAAAGAATCATTTGTAAAAACTACTTGATAATGAGACAGTTTGTAATATTAAATGAAAAGAGCACGAAGTAAAATTATGTATTCTAACTTTGTTAAAAATATGGTGTGTGTATATATGTATACAGACACATACATATATACATACATAGAAAAAAATATGCACTGAAATAAGATACACTGAAGAATTAATAATAGTGTTATTTCTGGGTGGAGGGATTACAGATGACTTTTGTTTTCTGTATGCTTTTCAATAGTTTTAGAATCTTCTGTAATGATATAATGAATTAAAATGGAATTAGAAATTATTATTACTTATAAAGAAAAATTTGTCTAGGTAGAATTGAATTAAGTGTCTATAACCCAGTTAAGTACTAATATTTAATTTGAAACTAGTTTTCTACATATCTTATGTAATCGTTGCTTACTGTCATTCTTGTGAAACAGTTAACCAGACGTGGTGCGCCTGAGCGCCATAAGGCCCTCTGCTCTGCTGGAGATGCGCACTGCCTGCTGTGAAGGTGCTCTCAGTCTGGATTGAGGCCAGACTGGCACTTTTAATACATCTTGATAGGAAATACAAGAATGGTTAGAACAGGGGTCCTTGTAGGACCTTTCCTGGTCTAGGCGGTGATAGAAGCAGGTGGCTGGTGAGGTCTGAATTGGGGCTGGAAGGAGGAGCAGGAATTTGCATGGGAGGAGTGTGTGGATGGGGAGGCTTACTGTTTCAGGAAGAGGAACAGTGTTCTGTAGGGTCAAGAGGAGAGAGTAGCTGCGGAAAAGAAAATAACCAGCTGATGCTGTTGACTATAACATTTCCATGTATTTCTTTCTACTGAGTTGTCGTGTTTCAATTTCAGGCCTCTTTGTTAAAGAATGACGAAACGAAGGCCCTCCCTCCAGCTTCTTTGCAGAAAGAATTGAACAACCTGTTGAAATTTAATCCTGATTTTGCGGAAGCGGTGAGTCTTTTCCAGAATTTGTTCCTGAGCTGAAAAAATAATGGCGAAGCTACTCTTATGTTCAGTAGCCACACAAATGAGGATCCACCCGTGCTCTTGGAGAGAAATCATGTTGGCAAGTGAGCAACCCAGCTTAGGTTGTAAAACTGCCCTTCGCACTCATTCAGTCTAGTGATGTTCTTTTTCTTTCATCATCTCTCTGATGTTGTGAATTATGGGCAAAGATAGAGTATAGACTGAGTATTTATTTTATTGTATTTTTTTAGAGAAAGAGGAAGGGAGACAGAGAGAGAAACATCAATGTAAGATCAAAACATCAATTGGCTGCCTCCCATACGCCCCTACTGGGGATTGAGCCCTCAAATGGGCATGTGCCCAGCTGGGAATCAAACCGGCAACCTTTCAGTGCATGGGACCACACCCAACCAAGTGAGCCACACCGGCTAGGGCAGAGTAGACTGAGTTTTTAAAATCTTTGGGGCCTGTCTTGGCCAGGTGGCTTGTTAGGTTAGAGTATTGTCCCAATACACTAAGGTTTCGGCTTCAATCCCTGGTCAGGGCACATACAAGAATCAACCAGTGAGTCCAGCCAGTGTGGCTCAGTGGTTGAGCATCAACCCATTAAACCAAGATGTCCCCTGTTTGATTCCTGGTCAGGGCACATGCCCAGGTTGCGGCTCGATCCCCAACGGGGGGTGTGCAGGAGTCAGTGGATGGATGTCTCTCTCAATGTTTCTATCTCTCTATCCCTCTCACCTCCTTTCTCTCTAAAAAAAAAAATCAATAAAATATATATGTTTTTAAAAGATTCATCCAATGAATGCATAAATAAGTGGAACAACAAATTGATATTTCTGTCTCTCTTTGTCTCTCTCTAAAATCAGTTAAAAAAAATTAGGGGCTAAAAATTTGTTCCTTTCCCCACTTTTGTCTGTGTTATTGTTTTTTTTAAGTTTAAAAATCATTCCATTCCTTAATGGATTTTTACCCTCAAACCTGGATTTGACATTTGACTTTATCCACACGATGAAAGATATATGTTTGGTTCCCTAGTAACTGGGATCTGCCTGTTTGGAGGGAAGTTTATTTGTTTATTTATTTATTTTTAAATTTTTCTTATTTATTTTTTGTTAATCCTCACCTGAGGATATTTTTCCATTGATCTTTTAGAGAGAGTGGAAGAGAGAGGGAAAGACAGAGAGAAACAACCATGTGAGAGAAACACATCGATTGGTTGCCTCCTGCATGCGCTCTGACCAGGGCCCAGTCTGGGGAGGCGCCTGCAACCAAGGTACGTGCCCTTGACCGGAATTGAACCCAGGACTCTTTGGGCCACAGGTCGATGCTCTGTCCACTGAGTCAAACTGGCTAGGGCCAGAGGGAGATTTAATTCAGTGAATCAAACAAAATGAAAACAATTTCAAAATAGAATATAATTAGCTCAGTAAACTTTTTAAATACCTGAGCTAAGTGAGTTCTCCCCTCCACCCTCACATGGGTCCTAATATAACCAGTGACATAGTGGATGTATATTTAGGATAAAATGCTGACACAAGTGCTAATGGAACTCCGGTTTTTTCATTTGGGGACCCCTCCTGGTGAGAAACCAATGTATCTTGAACCTGCTTTATTCTGCCTGTGGGGAAAAGGTGAATCTAAACCAGCCGTGGGCAAACTACGGCCCGCGGGCTGGATCCGGCCCGTTTGAAATGAATAAAACTAAAAAAAAAAAAGACCGTACCCTTTTATGTAATGATGTTTACTTTGAATTTATATTAGTTCACACAAACACTCCATCCATGCTTTTGTTCCGGCCCTCCGGTCCAGTTTAAGAACCCATTGTGGCCCTCTAGTCAAAAAGTTTGCCCACCCCTGAAAACGATGACCCTGTTGTTAGAAGGGTGGGGGATACGTGGATGTTTGCAGCCAGTAGAACTGAATTAGTCTTACACAAATGGAAGCGGAACATTTACACTGTGTGGATTGTTTCTTGTTGTAGCATTATCTCAGCTACTTAAACAACCTCCGGGTCCAAGATGTGTTTAGTTCTACACACAGCCTCCTGCATTACTTTGACCGCCTGATTCTTACGGGAGCCGAGAGCAAAAGTAACGGGGAAGAGGGCTACGGCCGGAGCTTGAGATACGCTGCTCTGAACCTGGCCGCCCTGCACTGCCGCTTCGGACACTAGTGAGTTTATAGCTTTGTATCCGTGCAGAAATGGAAGACATGAACTTCCAAATGTTAATTAAGATGAATTTTTTAAAATGCTGTATTTAAAAGAAGGATAAAAAGGAAAGAAAGAAAGGAAGCTGACTGTTCGACTAGACTTGTCAGTAACTTCCAAAAGGGAAGCTTTTTCACTGGACAGAAGTTAATGAAAACCTTCTCCTTAAACAGTCTGCCCCCTGGTGTCACTATGTAACATGACTGTCTTAGTACATGGCCTCTTTCTTTCATTACTTCTAAGAACGACAGCCATTGAATTAAAAGATAATTAGGTCATTAGGCCAGAGATTCCCAAAAGAATTTTTTGGAGATAATAATGAGGATACAAAAGCTATTTTCAGTATTTCAAAAAGCCAGAAGAAAGTTGTGTCTTTACTGGATAAAAGACTGGCCTGGCTTATTAAAAGTCTTGTTTGTGCTTTCGGATAAAATTCAGGCAGCTCAGTGAGATGACATTTGGCTTATGCTGTTGCTAAGATATGCCTATGATTTTGATGAATAAAAATAGGAAAACTGTCCAGCTGGTGTGGTTTAGTGGTTGAGCGTCTACCTATGAACCAGGAGGTCACAGTTCACGTCCTGATCAGGGCTCTATCCCCAGTAGGAGGAGTGCAGGAGGCAGCCAATCAATGATTCTCTATCATCACTGATGTTTCTCTCTCCCTTCTCCCTTCCTCTCTGAAATAAAATTATTTTGTAAATGGAGTTAAGTGGATAAAATCTTTCGAAACATGGAAGCTATTTTGGAAACAATGAGATAATGTGAATAATGGTGAAAAGGTAGGAAATTACTAATCGAAAGAGTGTCGTCGCCCCGGTGACTTTTTCCCATCTGGAAAAAACGTGGTTTCTGCTACTGGCATCTTTGACTAGAGACCCTAGAGTGTATTAATAGAAGCAATGTCCAGAGTTCAAGAATTGAGAGTTCTGCACTTGCTGTATGGCCCAGACAACACCCAAAAAATTCTGTTAACTTCTGGTTGTTGCATTTTAAAAGGGACGTAGACTGGAGCTTGTGTGTGGGCCAGTCTTTGAATACCTCATCGGAGCATTCAAAGCCATGTCATATAAATAATATGGAAATATTCTGTTACTGAAAATTTTTACCAGAGGTTTTTCTGCCTAGCAGCAGTGAAAAGCCATAAGGTCCTTTGAGGATTTTGCCTGACTTTGTGTTTCTGTGTTGGTAACCTACCTTTTATTCCTAACTGGGAAAAATAATCTCTCTTTAGTCGTTGTAGTATACAGTTCTCCCAGAAGCCATTTCTCTAAACATACCATTATTTGTTTGGTCATCACATGTTCAATAAAGTTAAATCAACCGATATTTATTGGGGGCCTGTGTGTGAAGACATGCTTCCTGCCCTCAAATAGCCTATGTTCTGCTCATCTCATTACTGAAGGGATGTAAATGACGTGTAAACTAGGTAAGAATGTATCTGGGTTTTGTATTTAAACAAGTAGTTACTTGGAACAGTTCAGTTCTCCCCAATTAAAATGAATTGTGTGAGGCTATTGCACTGGTGTTGAAAGAAAATTCCTTATATAAATTTTTCTCTAAAGAAGTGATACCCATACAATTGATTTTAAGATACTCAGTGACCCAGCATTGATAAGATTTCTATTCTGTCACTTGCCACTGAAAAGCCCAAAGTTTAAGACGTCCTGATCAGGGCTCTATCCCCAGTAGGAGGAGTGCAGGAGGCAGCCAATCAATGATTCTCTATCATCACTGATGTTTCTCTCTCCCTTCTCCCTTCCTCTCTGAAATAAAATTATTTTGTAAATGGAGTTAAGTGGATAAAATCTTTCGAAACATGGAAGCTATTTTGGAAACAATGAGATAATGTGAATAATGGTGAAAAGGTAGGAAATTACTTGTGCTCTCTATGGTTAATAAACTAGTTGAAAAAAATAGTTAACACTGATTAAATACACAGTAGTATTTAACTATGCACTGCAAGATGGGGTACAGATAGCACTTATGTGGGAATTTTCACAAGTGCGAGTTCAATGGGGCCAAGAATATTTGACTGAATTTCTGCAGAAGTTGAGAGGGTGGGAGAGACATCAGAGATGGAGGGGAACCACATGAGCAGAAAAAAGGAATCTCAGAAGTGGGTAATCCTCAAAATACTTTTTAAAACTAGTTTTGAAAAAGTATAGAAGCATCAAATGCTATAGTAAAAAAATTTTTTAATGATGCAGAAGGGAATGCAATGAAAAGTAAAATATCGTATTCTCTCTGTGCCTCTTCCCTGGCCTTAAGAGTTAAAATAAAACTCTTAGCCAAAACCGGTTTGGCTCAGTGGATAGAGCGTCGGCCTGCGGACTGAAGGGTCCCGGGTTTGATTCCGGTCAAGGGCATGTACCTGGGTTGCAGGCACATCCCCAGTGGGGAGTGTGCAGGAGGCAGCTGATCGACGTTTCTCTCTCATCGATGTTTCTAACTCTCTATCTCTCTCCCTTCCTCTCTGTAAAAAATCAATAAAATATATTAAAAAAAAATAAAAATAAAAAAATAAAACTCTTAGCAGCTGAGATCAAGAAAAGCTATTCCTCGATGCCCCTTTTAGTAGAAATCCACCTTAGGAGGGGCAGGTTCTATATGTCCACTGTTAATGTTTCTTGCTGCTGGGGCAAGGGACTGCCTCTGAGGGAATAAGTCCATAGCTACAGCTTCCAAAGCAGAGACCTGCTCTTAAATGAATTACTGTACAGATGTCTTCCTGCTTCCGTTACTTGTGCATGTTTGTGATTGTTAATGAGATGTTAATGTTCAGTCTGTCATTAGTCAACAGGCGGAGCTCGCCCTGCAGGAGGCAATCAGGATCGCCCAGGAGTCCAACGATCACGTGTGTCTCCAGCATTGCCTGGTAAGGCCACCCTCCTGCCTTGGGAATTCTGCCCGTGGGTTGAGTTGGCCTTTGGAAGGCCCGATTTGAATCAGATTGTTTTGTAGTCAGAGCAAAGGTTCTTAGCAGTGACGGGGAACTAGTTAGGAAGTCGTGGTAATTCAGGAAAGGCAGCCCATATTTGTTTATTTCTTACTTCATGACATTTGTTTGGCTTTGGTGGTGATTCTTTTTTTAAAATATGTTTGTATTGACTTTTAGAGAGAGAGAGAGGAAGGGAGAGTAAAGAAGAGGAAGAGAGAGCTAGAAACATCAATGATGAGAAGAATTATTGATCAGCTGTCTCCTGCATGCCTCCTACCAGGCGTGCAACCCAGGCATGTGCCCTGACCGGGAATCGAACCAGGGACCTCTTGGTTCACGGTTCAGTGCTCAGCCACGGAGCCAAACCAGCCAGGCTTGATCTTATCTACAAATTTTAGTACAATGTAAACTATCACATTAAATATTGGCATTAACCTTATAACTGGATGAGATGTTATCCTGTGAAAGCATAACCACCAAGCACAAGTAGAACACAGAATTTATTTAACCATCACTTTGAGACTCACTTTTTCAATTAAAGGCCATATGGGGGCTTCATGCTTTTTTCTAGAACCTCGCCACTCATTGCTCTCAAAGATGAAGAAAATAAATGGCTTGTCTGATAGTTTTCATGTGTTTGATGGGCTTCATTTTGGTTCATGCTTCATGAAAGAGTATGTTAGAGAATTTATTTTGTTCCTTTAATTCTTATTTGCAACCATGCTGATAGTTCAATAGAGCATTACCCATGGTTATTGTTAGATATATGTTAATGATTTCTCTTACCAGAGCTGGCTCTACGTGCTGGGGCAGAAGAGATCCGATAGCTATGTTCTGCTAGAACATTCTGTGAAAAAAGCAGTGCATTTTGGGTTACCGGTAAGGCTCATCTTTCTGTGAGATTATTTAAATAAATGGTTTTATTCTTGGTAGTTTCATATGATCTTAATTATTAATTAAACACTAAATTCTGTTTTATAGGTTTCTCTCTGTTCCCTTTATCCTAATAACATCTGTGAAAATTCCATTGATCAATTTGATGAGATTGTTTTTAGTTTATTGATCCATATTAACTTCCCCATATGTACTTAGAAATTTTTCAGGAAAGGCTTACTTTTAAAACAGGGATTGGTTTAAATGTTACAGCCCTAGAGCCCAATCTGGCGGCTGCCTGCTCATATGTGGCCCTCGGGCTAGGAATGGGTTTTACATTTTTAAATAGTTGGGGGGAAAACTAACAAAGAAGAATATGCAACAGACACCAGATGTGGTCTGCAAAACCCAAGTTATTTACTGTCTGGCCCTTAAGAGAACAAGTTTGCTGATCCCTGTTTTAACACTGAGCAGAGCTAGGAACCAGCAAACCTGATAGGCAGATTTTTCCTTTCTCATTTTGAGTGCCAGGGAAGGACCTGAATTATCGTCCTCAACGATAGATATTGAGGGACATTGAAAGGGCATAGTCTCCACGCATGAAGTAGTAAGGCTCTTAGCATCTAGATTAATGTTGCTCCAAGAACTTTATTCCATCTCAAAAACCACCCACTGAAACCTGGACTGTAGGCAGTGTGACTGCTTAAGCATCTGTCTCATATAGTTTGCAACAAGTTCCAGGAAAATTGGAAGTAATCATGTGCAGTCACTTCAAGTATATGCTTTTCAAATCTGCAAATTGTACACTTGACTCATTTCTGGGGAAGGAAAGTTACATGTACAGATTGATGATAAGGAGAAAAGTAAGTGTTAAGTGTCTCCTTAAAATAAATGAGACTTTTTAAATACAGTTTTTGTTGTGGATTTATGCTGTATCTTAGTTGAGCATTCATCCTTGAAAATCATGCCAGAAATTATGCTCATAATAGGCACCCTCTTTTAATCTCCTGCTACATAATGTGCCCAGCACTGTTTGACGTATTATCTCATTTTAGTCCTCACAGCAATTCTTTATGATCGCTGGGATGCCCATTTTACAGACAAGGAAGTTGAGAATTGGCTCAAATGCTAAGTGACTGGCCCCAAGTCATATAGAAAGTAGTAGGGCGGTGTTTAAGTACAGGTCCATTTAATGTCAAAGCCCTGGCTCTTCTCGGTGTACCGTCAGCCTCTCTTCCACCCTGTTTTTCAAGAACATATTTTATACGGGGCGGGGTCAGGCTGTAGGTACTTTCCTTGTAAATAGTGTTGTCACTGTGCATGTGCTGAAATGTGAAATATGCCAAATTTCTGAAGAGCAAAACAAACTCGTCATGTAAAATCTCTATTTCTCCCCTTAGTACCTTGCCTCCCTGGGCATACAATCCCTAGTTCAGCAGAGGGCTTTTGCTGGGAAGACAGCAAATAAACTGATGGATGCTCTAAAGGACTCTGACCTCCTGCACTGGAAACACAGCCTGTCAGAGCTCATCGACATCAGCATCGCCCAGAAAACGGCCATCTGGAGGCTCTATGGCCGCAGGTCAGTCTTCAGGCAGACGGTCAAGGCCATAGGGGCGTGGGTCCTTTTAGAGACGAGTGGAGGCTGGATCTCCCTTGTAGGATGCATAAACCAAAGTTCACACATCTGTCTGAGCTGCCCAAGACCACAGTGTAGTTAATAAGTGACAGAGCCGCTTATGAGCCACGTTGTTCTGACTCCAAGCACAGTGCCCTTGTGCCCTGAGACGGGCAGCACCTCTTTCTGTTCGCAGGAGGCACGGGCCATGGTAACTCAAGTTGTGTTCTCTGGAATATCTCCAGCCTTGTGTTAATTTCCATTTTGCGTCTCTAGCTTGGAAGTAAACTTCTGAACCAGATTTTTCATCCTGGAGTCCTGTCACTACCTCACCTCTCACCTAAACAATCTGTTATTTTTAGGAATTCAGTAATGAAAGGAAGTGCCTATGTGGCCAGTCTGGTTTTTGTATGTGAGATAATTTCTTGGCAGGATGCGGTCTGAAGCAACTGCAGACACTGGCCACTGAATATATTGCCAGAGCAGCTGGTACCAGGAGGGCATCGGGTCTGAATTTACCCATGAAAACGAATGAATACACCGTGACCACAGGCAATGGGGAAGAGGGTGTCTGGCGCTCAGAGCTCCCTGTTGTGCCACAACCACTACGTTTCCTCTGGGGCTGCGCATCGGGGTGCTTTCCCGCTTTCCTGGGAGGCAGCTGTTCCCACAAAGCCAGAACTTGCAGTGGGGCTTACCTTCCTTCCGTTTGCACTCAAGAGAAGTGTGGGGTGTGGCGGAGGGCAGCCTGGTTCCCTTGATAGATGGGAGTCCCTGTTTGTCCCCTCACCCAGCACCATGGCGCTGCAGCAAGCCCAGATGTTGCTGAGCATGAACAGCCTGGAGTCGGTGAATGCGGGCGTGCAGCAGAACAACACGGAATCGTTTGCGGTCGCGCTCTGCCACCTCGCAGAGCTGCATGCGGAGCAGGTAGGAGGTGGCCAGGTCGGTGGGCTTCTGGAGCAAGGGAGGCTCTGCCAGTTCTTTCCTCTGTGCTTGAGAAGGGCACTGGGCACGTCAGGGATAGGTCTGGTTGGCCGCACCAAGAAGGGTGAATCCTGTCTGCTCCCTGCTCGTGGTGCAGCAGGTGTGGCTGCATGGGTGTGCTCATCACATCCTGTCTTTCTGTTTAGGGCTGTTTCGCTGCAGCTTCCGAGGTATTAAAGCACCTGAAGGAAAGATTCCCACCGAATAGTCAGCATGCCCAGGTAACCTGCTCTCTGTGTGACCTCGGGTTTATTTGTGAAAAGACCGTTTTTACTGTATTGGTGTCAGCGTGTGCTCATGTAGTCTCCCCTCAGTTTCTCATGTCAGTTCCTCCTGTAACATACATGCATTGAGGTCAACATGGGTACTTACTTAGGAGACTCTGTAAGCTCTCTTCAAGAAGCCTGAGAAATAAACTCTGAGAAAAGATTTAAAGCAGGGGACTTACCCCGCTCTTGTCTTCATGGTTTTCAATTAGTATTCTTAATATCTCCAACTGTACAGGAATAAGAAAAGAAATTATCAACGTCCTTCAACAGATCAGGAATTAGGTCTCAGTTTTGATATTTTGTCTCGTACTTAGCAACTCTAATCTTTTCCTCCCAGAACTGAATAACCTTGTGGGAAGATGTTGTGTCCAGAGGGCAGTCCTAGGCCTTCTGTTTCTCACTGAACTGACTTTCCTCTCTGAAGGGGCTGAAAACACGGTTACAAGGGCCTTCTTTCTCTTCCTTCCCTTACCATGTTTAGTCTTCAGGATTAAGGCCTGGGAATCTCCCACTGCTGGCCCCTGGGTGGTCATTCACGTAGGTGGTTAGATAAGGTGTGAGCTGTGCTGACATGTGAACTCAGAGCACCCACAGGGGAAACAAGACAGAAGATAGCACCCAAGGATGAAGTGTGGTTCCGTGGTAGTGCTAATGGGTGAAATAA